TATATATATATATGAAGTGTATAATAGCCTTTCACAATTTATTTTAATCTAATTATAGTTAGGCTAATGTCATCATAGAAAATTATAATTTAATTATAATAGATAATTAAATATATTTATTTGATAATATATATTTATACTGTCAAATTATTAATATATATTTATTATGTATTATTATGTATATAAAATATTCAATATCCAATAATCTATTATTCAAACGTTTTACTATTCACATATACTCTACTACTGAAATGTTTTATTATTCGAACCACTGTCTATACATTTTCCTGTTTGTGTCATTTCCTATCAAAACATCCTGGAAAAATATCATATCTTTCTTATTGTTCCAGTATAAAATTGATATCTTACGTATTCACAATTCACATATAATCCAAAAGTGTAATAATACTCAAAATAAATGTTAAAATAAAATAATAATAAAAAAATATTCAATAAATTAAAAATTTAATTTATGTATAATTGTATTTAAATTTATTCAAAAATTTATTTATATTTATTATCTATACTACTAATGCATATATAATATTTATATTTATTTATTTATGCTATTAATATATTATATTTATTATATTATTAAAATTTATTTTTATTATTATTTATTAAAAAATTTAATTTACGTATAAATGTTACAAAAATTGCTATAGAAAATTCTATAAAAAAAAAAAAATCCTTCGTCCTAACAACACACAATTATATTTTTTAATTAATTTAAATATTAAAGATTCTACCATTCTTTTATAAAAACACAATAAACTTATAATTTTAATAGAAACAATATTAATACATTTATTATATTTAATATTTAATTTTTATAATGTTATAATAAATTTATAAAAACATTAAATAAATAAATAAAAGAGTAAATGAATAAATATGAAGAATATTTACCTGACTAGCATGAAACAATGAAAGAACAGATGCTGATACTAATGCACTGGAACTAGAAAGTCCAGCATTAGCTGGAACGTTACCCCATACTGCAGCTAAGATTCCCTTAGGAACTTTTTCCTTTGGGATAACATCAAGAGCACCCAGGATACCACATAAATAGTATTTATACCAAATTGGTCCCGTTTTAGAATCATCTATTGATGCTCTAAAACAAATACAAATAATAACGATTAAATCAATCATTTTTTAATAATATTATTTATAATACTTTATATATAATTTTAAATAAATTACTTCACGTTGTCGAAATCGCATGAAAAATCTTGATAATTCGAATTAACATTGGTAACACTGATTCGATGATCATTTGATATCCCAACAGCTATGAGAATGTGTTGTTTGATTGCCATAGGACAAACTGCATATCCACAATAATCGATGTGCTCGCCAATCAAATTAACTCTGAAATTTTATATAAACTTTAGATAATAATAATAATTTATTATTTATTCCACAGAGAGAGGTGAATGAAATCAAATGGATCAAGACATACGAATGTACGAACAAATCGGAAGCATTAATTTCACAAATAAATAATACAATATGTGCAATTGAATTTCAAATCTAATTGTTACGTATCAAATTATTAATATTTAACTCACCTTCCAGGAACTTTGACTACAAAGGTAGGTTCCCGATTGTATTTTTGAATAAAATGTTCCGAGAGAATTTTTAATTTCAACGAGAACGCTTCATCTGCTTTTAAAACCGACACTCCATCTTTCGTTTCGGAAAATTCATTCTCACCGTTTGCGTTATTCGACATTTCTGAAAAATATAATAATAATAATATTATTATTATTATTATTTAAATAAAACTACGATGATATATTTAAATTAGATTGAAAAATCATATAAAACAAAACAAAAAACTAAAGCACATAATAAATCTTTCACATTTCATACAATTTAGTTTCTAACTTGACTTATTTTTATCTTATACTTATAATAAACTTATTAACTGGATTATATTACTTTTTTTTTTATTATTATTATTATTATTATTATTTCTACTAAAAACTTATCTTAATTTTATTCTTATGAAATCGTAATCTTACTTTTAATAACTCGTTAAATTTTACTCTTACTTTTTTACCGTACATTTTATAGAAGTACTTTTATATTATTTCTACTTTTGAATCATCAAATCTTTCTTACCATTTTGTTTTATTTTTTTTTTTTTTTTTTTATTTTAGTCTTCGACATTACTTACAATTTTATTACCATTCTCAATTATTTCTATAAATAAATTCAAATTAAAATTATATTCTTACATTCGTTCGATTTTGTTCTTTCTTTTATCAAAATGAATCTAATTTTGTTTTACAATGCAAATTAAAAAAATATCTTATATCCTAAATATTTTTTTAGATATATATATATCTAATTTTTATTATAAGATATTTTTATACATCTTTAAAGATATAATAATAATTATAATAATCATCGAAGGATCGTAAAGATAATCAAATACAAATACGATAAATATTGAATATAAAGTAAAGTTACTAAGTAATTTCCGTTGGAAAAACATTACGAACAGTATGGCAGATTCTATTGGAAATTGTTAATGTCCGGAATGAAAATAGCGAATGAGGCCAACGCCATTAATGTAATTACGTTGTTGAACGTTATGGTGCGGTCGCAGTATCACTCGATTTCCCCCAAACATGCCCGGAAACTTTCGTTTAAAACTCAAGATAATCTCGACCAATGATAAGAAGAATGGGATGCAATTTTCAAAGACGTAGAATAAAATAACTATCATTTCGTTTTTATCTATTATCTTTAACTACAATGAAACGTATGCTTTTACCATTAACTTATAATTAGTTTCATTTGATTTATTTCAATGATTATTTTATTTACTTGAAAATATTATTTTCACAGAAGAAGAAGAAGAAGAAGAAGAAGAAACTGTTCAACGAAATCCAATTGATTTGTAAAGACTATAATGATTTTAAAATTTAATTTATATATATATGATACGCGGATATAAATTATCTATAAAAATAATTACATACGAGATATCGTTAAGTGTAAACGATAAAATCTAATCTGTGTAACTTCTTTACAGTATTCAATGGTGATATTTAATTGTACGATAAGATCAAAGTAAACATTGTATTCGCATATTAGCGATAATCCGAATGTATTACGGTAGGATACAAAATTTAAATTTCCCGCGTTACAAATAACTTATCGCTATATGTATTAATATTTTACTCATCATCATCAATTTATCATTAATTCTTATCTTCCACGTAATCATCATTAGATATGAAAATATAATATGTATAATTTCATTTATTTCTCTTATTCTTTATTTCATTCTTACAGTCAAGAATTTCGAAAAAAAAAAAGATAAGAAAAATAATAATATTTACAATATGCATTCTTATCGTCCGATAGAAAGATAAGAAACACTTGCTTAAACGTATTGTGATGTGTCATTTAACACACAGAGATAGACATTTGAAAGATATTCTTTCACAAGCATATATAAGCAAATACATTTGATATATTAATTTATTTTATTTAAATATTTATTAACGTAGAAGTATATTTTAATAATAAAAAAAAGGAATACCTATTTAATTGTTGTCTTAATAATATGTTCAAGTTAGTTTGAAATCGTTCGTGCCTTTATTTTCGATGAAAATATTCAGAGCCAAATCCTCCCGCTCGAAGAAAACGCACTTACTAAATTAAACGTTACGTGGCGCCACTTGTCGATTACATTTGCTTACGTGCACCCTATATATACATGCGCGTGTTTGTATGCGCATAAGCACATAATCGTGTGAACGCCGACACGCTTCGAGAACTTGGTATCCCGTTGTACTTTATTAATTATACGCATTATTTTTTTCATTTATAATATAAGTAAGATTTAAAATATAAATATGAAGGGTTACGTAATACGTACCTTATTTCGTTATTCACAATTTAAATATATCAAACGAGGATTATATATAACGAAGCGTCATCGTCAATACACATGATACTTTTTTTTTAACCTTACATCGTTCGATATACACTTTAAAACTTTATCGATCTAGTCAATTTTGTTCCAACGAGTTCTCTCGGTAACCACTCGTGGCGCCACCAATCACTCAGAGCCCCCCGCCATTTTTTCACGCGTCCCTTTAATTCGGCGCGGTAATTTTTGAATATTTATATTCGGCTACCTTGTACATATATCTATGATGAATGATCCAAAATTATTGCTAATAAATTCATAGACTGTAAATATATAAATTATAAATGAATTTTTATTTAGTTTTATGTTATTAATTAATTATAAATATAAATGTATATTTTATAATACATGGTTGTAATGATCAGATTTAAATTAGATATCAGCTTTTTAAGATATCTTTCAAAGTTGTTAATTATACTCATATATTATTCTATTGTTATTTAATATTAATCCTTATAAAAAAAAATTCTATTAAATCATAATTATAAAACATTTTTCTTTATTTACACCTGGACCAATGCATAAAAACGTTAGTTTTTATTTATGAGCCCATTCGTTATTTCTTTGTACGATGACTACTCGTAAAAGTTCATGTATAATAATTTATTAAATGCGCATACAAATTATGAAATTTAACGAGTAAAATAATAGTTGATAAAAATAAACTCAAAGCTCTATTAACAATTCTTATTTATATGACATAAATGTACGAAACATTTAAATGACATAAAGCAAAAAAACAAATGTGTGAATAAAATTCGTTGAAAAAATGATGAATATTTAATTTTGATTAATTTTTATTTATAACAATACAATACACGCTTTCCCTTTAACTCTAATTTCTTTGATTAAAGGAGAGAGAGTCGGTGGTCGACCTAGATATTGAAAAGTATCCTTTCACCAAATAACATAGAATTTATGTAATTATTCACCTTATATCTATATCCATATAGACACATATATTAAAAATTGTAATAAATTCGTTACGTCACATTTTATCAATCCAAGTTCAAAAATAAATTGGATTGTTTTTTTGAATTTTTACGAATTTAAAATAAATTTTCGTATAATTTTAATTGATCGATAAATCAATAAATGCAATTATTTATAAATGTTTTATGTATATCTTAATAATTATATTTTATCTGTCATTTTAATTGTTTTAGGATTTACAATTGGATTTTATTATTTTCCACTCGAAAGATTCGATTTATACTACTCGTATATCTTTTTTCACGTATATTCTTATGATTGGCTCATACTGCAATTAAGGAAAATTAGAAATCACGTTCCTTTTGTTTTCCTTTTCTCTCTCTCTCTCTCTCTCTCTCTCTCTCTCTATCTTTCTCTCTTGGTAAAGGTAAAACCAATTTACCTAGTAGATTTTTTTTTCTTTCTAGAAATTTTTTTTCTTCCTTACTGTGCTTTTATCATTTTTTTCTGGTTTAACCCTTTTTCTTAGGAATAATAATACGCAAAGGTATAATTAGAAATATTTTTATCGTCGAATGAATGAAAATGAACGAACACAGATAATCAACAAAAACTGTCTTATTTAAAAAAAATATATATATATATATATGTAACATAAATAATATTAATGACGCTTATATGCAAATTATACAAAAGAAACAGGTTGTATGGTAGAATAAAGTCAATCATTGTTTTTAATTGCATTGATAATATGTTTTTGAATGGTAACAGTTTCTATAGGTCATGTTAAAGTCCATGTTATAATATTAAAAAAAAAAAATAGTGAGAGTTTTAGTTATATGATAGATAACATACGATAGTATAGTATGATGAGAGATATTAGAAAACTATAGAAAACATGTTGCATACTATTGTAAGTAACCTGCGGGATGCAACGTATACATAAGAGTACTTACACCTATATGAGTTGGGGGATAAGTAAGTACCTTTCGCTTTATAATTTTCTTTGCAGTTGAGAATAGTCTATGGAAGAGCTAGTTACATATTACGGAAAAATTTCAAAATACGATTTAAAAATTGCGGGAATTTAATTAACTTCGATTAACAGGTTTTTATTATTATTATTATTATTATTATTAATATCAATAAATGTTTATATAAAACAATCTTAATATTTTATATTTATTAATATTATTTTAATATAATTTTATAATATTATAATTATTATATATTATTATTATTATAATATTACATAAATAATTATAATATAATATAAAATATATAATAATTATATTTATTAATTTTTATTTTAATAAGTATTAAATGAGATCAAATTTTGTATATTTTTGCAAAGTTGAAATTCGGTAGTTGCAATTACCCATTTATTATAAACATTTATTATAAAAATGTTATCGATTTAAAATTAGGTTTTCTATTTTATTAAAAAAAAAAAATAAAATCATTATTATTTTATATAAATAATAGAAATATATGGCAATTATTCGTGTTACAAAATGGTGTGGGAATATTTGAATCGGTCACGGTAAGATTAAAGTGAAATTGGAAATATGAAGTTGCAAAGTATCATATTATTTTGCAAACGAGTTGTGTGTGTTTTTTTTTTTAAATTTTCCATTGTACAAATATAGTGTCAAGAAGTGTCTAATGTAAGTAAAAAAAAAAAAGAAAAATTGCAACTTTCATCTTATCAAGAAAACTTTCTCTCCGTATTAGCAAACTTTGGTTTGAACGTTTGAATTGTTCAGCAAATATGGGAATACTCTGAAACTTTGCATCATTAAACAATACAATTTTAATGTAAATTAAAATATAAATATTTATGAGAATGATTAAAAAAAAAAACAAGAAAATATCATTTTATTTTATTCAGATAAATTAGGATGGAGTTCAAAGAAACTTTAACCCTTATTTACGATATTATATTATTTGTGATTATGTCAATAATTTATATATGTGAGACAATAATATTAACAATCATCCCTAAACGTTATCGTGAAAAATCTATCAAAGGAAAAATAGCATTGGTAACTGGTGGTGCTGGAGGAATTGGAAAAATAATTGTCCAAAAATTATCTAAGTTGGGTGCTCACGTTATTATTTTGGATATTAATAAATCAGGTATATAAATTTATTATTAAAAAAGAAAAATATATAATAATTCAATGATCTATCAAAATGATATATTTATTTGGCGATATATATATATATATTTATTTTTATTTTTTTAATTTGATTTGTTATATTATCTTGATAGCACTCGAAGATACAGTGAATGAAATTAAAAACCAAGGTGGTAAATGTTGGGGATATTATTGCGATATTTCCGATCGAAGAGAAATATATAGAATTGCGAAATCAATTAAAATTGAAATTGGTAATGTAAGTGTGTAAAAATGATTTATAATTCAATTTTTTTTTTCATTGCACATACATAAAAATATAATATAATTAATAATTTATTGAAAATAATTTTTTATTTTATTTATTTTATTTGAAATATAATTTCAATGAATTTTATAAGATATATTTAAATAGGTATTTTTATTGATAAATAACGCTGGTTATGTATACGGTAAAACACTTTTGGATATACCAGACGAAGAAATCGAGCGTACATTCAAAATAAATGTATTAGCACATTATTGGGTAAGTTTTAATGTATTTTGATCAATTTTACTAACAAAAATAATATTGAAATTATGTTTCTCGTTGAATTAGATGATTAAAATTTTTTTAAAAGATATGATTAAAGCAAATTATGGACATATTGTAACTATTGCGAGTGTTGCTGGTTTATTAGGAACTTACAATTGCACCGATTATTCGGCAACTAAATTCGCTGCCATTGGATTTCACGAAAGTCTTTTTACGGAACTCAGAGTAAACAAAAACATTTGTTCTTCTATTTTTTATATTTAAGTAATATTATTATTATTATTGGATATAAAAATTGAAATATATTTAAGGCTCACGGTTACGAAGGAATTCAATTGACATTAGTTTGTCCTTTTTTGATTAACACGAAAATGTTTGATGGAGTTAAACCCAGGTAATTAAAATATTTGTGAACATGTAATAATGTATATATAATAATTGATAAAAAATTTAAAAAAAATGATAGATTGATGAAAATGCTTGAACCAGAGTACGTTGCTGAAGAAGTTATAACAGGAATATTATTAAATAAAGTAAATGTTACGTTACCTAATAGTATCAGACTTTTTTTGCCATTAAAATAGTAAGTTGTCACGTTAATAGTATTTCTTTAAAATTGACATTACTATTATTATTATTATTATTATTATTATTATTATTATTATTATTATTATTATTATTATTATTAAGGAATGAATTTGTTTATTTTTACGTTAGTTTATTACCTGCAAAAATGTGTTGGGATTTAATGTATCGTATAATACATGGACCACAAATGATGATGACGTTTAAAGGACGAGATAATACGAATATGCTTCAAGATAATAATAATATTACTGAAAAAACTGAAAAAATACACCTACAGTAATAATATATCCAAAAATATATTCCATAATTCTTTTTTAGATAAATTGACGATGTACTTTACGATCAAAATAAAATCTTTATCAATTGTAAGAATACTATCTATATATTGTATGCATTTGAATATATTATAAAATTAATAATATTTTTATAGTAGATGATATCTTGTTATAATAATTACTATCGATTATTTAATTAGAGGCAATTAGATACGTATATCGATCGATTGATGGAATAATCCAACTGGCAGAATATGATATTTCATTGAAAAAGTTTTTATAATAAGTCATAAAAATAATTCAACCCTTGACCAAGTTCCCAAATAGCAATACCTGTACCTAATTCTGCAGCAAGATCGAATCGAAATACCATAGAATATAAAGTAGGATAAAAAACATATCCGCTACCCAAGGAAGATCTGAAACATAAAATAAACAATTTGTCAATGTAGAGTAGAATACGAAAAAAATCTTCTAAAAAGATAAAATTAAAATCTTACTTTGATTCGAAGAAATGTTCTTTACTTCTATCATCCCATTGAATCTTGCTTTTGAATGTTTCAAGACTTTTTAAATATTGCGAACCTAAAATAGGCCCACCACCTTCCGGAGTATAACTGTATCCATAAAAATTGATCCCTAATAATATTTGATTTCGTTTAGGATCATTTTGATCTGGAACTAATAATTCTACGCATTGTCTTGCCCAAGAAAGTGGACTATTAGGACCGGGACGTTGAACACTCGAATAATCATATGTCATTAATGAGAAAGATTTAATATAGGGTGATAATTCGTTGAAATGATCTCTTGAAAATAATTGTGCCTTTGAACTGAAAAATCAGAATAAAATTTAATCATATAATTATATATAATTACATTTAATCATATTATTACAAAAAAATATAAGATTTACCCTCTAGATGGTGGAATTGCTAATATTACATCGAGATTTCCGTTTTTTAATTTTTTAGAAATAGCTTTAACTACAGACAATAAAATCTGTACATTGATACCCGTATATATAAACTGATCCCATATTTCTAACACATAACCATCAAAACGGAATGTCTGTAATGAAATATTTGAAATCATAGAAATATACATAATGTAATAAAAATAAAAATAAAATCATTACCTTCGCTGTATCGGTTAATGTCGTAATAAGTTGTTGTTGCTTTAGTGTATTACTTTCTAATTCAACAATATCATTTGTTGACCAATGTTTAAACAATAACCTTGGTAAAACTGAAATACATTCAAACTGAAGTAAAAAATATTTTAATGATTTTTATACAATCATTTTAAGTGGTATATAATATAATTATTATTATTTATAGATTAAAAACATACTTTTTACATTATGACTTTCGCTGTTCATCGATCTCATATCTTTTAACCATTTTTTTTGAACATCGTGTGTTGGTAATGGAAATGTTGAAGTATTACTTGGTAATATGGAAAACCATACTGGTGATACCATTGTAAATTTTCCATGAAAAGTTTTTGATAATTCATATCCATTACTGTTCCACTAAAATAACATCATTCGTTGTAAATTAATATTATAGTGACAATTTAATATTAATTATTATACTTACAGGAGTAATATATCCTAAAATTTCACCAGAAAATCTTCTACGTTTAGTGTCTGAATAATATGTTCCAGATTCCTTAATAATATCAATCACCTTAGGATCCTTAATTACTAAATTCCTTTGAAAAACGTCTTTGTTGACAGGACCTTTCTAATATTGTTATTAAACAAACATTGATAACTTATTATGAAATAATCAATAAATAAGTTTATTATTTAATTTCATTTAAAGATACAGTCTTTTTATTATTTTATATACCTGACTATCTACCTTCCCTTTATCCTTTTTATCCTTTTTATTCCCGGTATTTGTAGGCGGTGACAATGTGGCTTCAGATAATTGAATTACAATTAATATTTTTAGAATTAATATCAGGAAGTTCATAATATTTATAATACTTATTTAATTAACACTATATTAATATTATATAATTGATTATTTATGAAAAATACTTTATATTGAATTATATTTAAATGTTTATGTGGAAACAAATTTCTTATGTCAAAATGACAAGTTAGGTTAGGTCTCAACTGTTTTCAGATAGCTCTGCTGTCGCTACCAATGCACAATCTAGTGGCAGTACTATGAACTTGTAATATTCATGGTTATTTTCATGCTGGTCACGTGCAAAGACTATCAATCAAAGCTTGCATTTAATGAAATTTTATTTTGTTGTGGACAGTGAAGTATTTTCATTTTATAATAATTAAAATATCTCGATAATTTTTCGATTTACAATAATAATTAATATTTTTTTTTTTATAGGAAATTGCATTCAATGTTTTATAATGTATTACAATAAGTAACAATAGAGTGTGATTCTTTAAAAATGATATCAACAATTTAGTTATAACTTGTATACATTTGTTTACGTTTCCAAGGTTGCTCAGCCAAGTTTCCCTAGAAATTTAAAGGGATTCCCAGTATTACGAATCAGCTGTTTCATTCAGTGATAATTCAAACACGTATAGCTAATTATAAATACAAAGCTAATATTTTCTTGCGAAAGTTATATGTAATATTTCATAAGGAAACAGTATGAGATTACTGTAAAATACTTAAGATTGTTATAAAATTATTAAATATGTTTAATACAGAAAAAGATATTCCGTATTTAAGTTATAATAGTGATAATTTTCATTTATTGATCGATGAAAATGAAAATGAATCAGAATTTGATATACAATTAAAGCGAGCATGGGAAAAGGCTGAAAAAAATGGAGCGTTTAGATATAAATTAAATATTAGTAATTGGAAAATAATCGAAGGATCTTATAAATATTTAGTTCAGGTATAATAATATCATAATTTTGAATTTTTTAAAAACACATGATAAAATATATTAAATTTGTTTTAGTTTAATCCTGAAAGAGGATCTAATAGACGAACACCTGAACATATTACAACAATGTCAATGCCATTTGATTCAACTAAATTTAATTTCACCAAATTACAAAAAAATGAAATAATGTTTAAAATAAATGATGAAGAGGACAGTGATATTATAGCAGTTAACAATAGTCCTTTGGAATGGTGTCATTCTTTATTAATTGTTAAATATTTACAATGTCTACCTCAGACAATTACCCAGTATAGTCTTCAAAAAGCATTCGAAATGTTGCTGTTAAGCAACTCACCGTAATATATTTTATCATTCTTTATAAATTAAACACAAACATAAATGAATCTATTTTTTTATATTTTTTTTTTTTTTATATTTTAGGTACCTCAGAATAGCATACAATGGTTTGTGTGCTTTTTCTTCTGTCAATCATTTGCACTGGCATTTATATTACCTCAAGCACAAGATGTTTCTTGAATATATTGTAAATAATTAATATATGTACAATGAATTTTGTTAAAAGAAAGTATATATATATATATATCAGTTATGATAATTTCATGAATATAGTTTGTTTTAGGATGTACAACCATATGAAGGTTCTTTGTTTCTTTTAGAAAATTTTCCTAGTAAAGGATTTTGTTTTAAATTATCATCATCAAAGAATTTAGAAACTTTAATAACTTCAATATTTTTATTTGTAAATTATCTTATAAAACATCAAATCCCACATAATGTATTTATTACAAGAGCAAAAACTACGCATTTGAAAAAAGAATACGACGATGTACGAGCATATGTTTGGGCAAGAAAGCCACAAGCTGGTGTAAAAGATACAATTTTGATGAAACCAGCTGCGTGCGAATTCTTTGGACACATAATTATTAGTTGTAATTATATTATAGATCAAATTTATTCATTTTATTATTTAAAATATAATATCGTTAATTGTATAATATTATTTATTACTATTATTTTTTTATAGCGGAAGAAAAATATGAAAATGTGACGGAAGAGATGATAATAGAAATGATTGATAATGCAACAAGAGAGCCTTATTTGTTAATTAAAAAAGATTTACATAAAATAATAAACAATCAAATAACAAATAACGATAAGTAATATCTTTAGTTATTTGTAAAAAGATGTAGAGAAAAAAAAAAGGAATAAATTTATGGTAATATAAAAAATAAAAGAATTATATAAAAATAAAAAGAATGTTTAATTTTATTGTTGAAGATTCATGTAAGAAAATCTATCATTTTATATATTATAATTTTAAAATAGTTATTTTGTCTTTTTTGTTGTATTATTCTTTAAAAACAGGTTGAACTGTTGAAAATTTTTAAAAATAAGAAGGAACAGTGGGGGAAGGACAAGAAGGATCTACGTTTTAGTGAATTTTTTGTTTTTGAAGTTTGTTTTTCGAACTTTTCGAAATATACATTAAATAGTATACATGTGTTTCTCATTTAACAATAGAAGAAAGCCGAGCCTCAAGATGTTAGGACATATTGGGTTCTAGTTATTCCAGGGATGCTTTTAGTCAAGTGTTAGAACTGGTGGTGTAGTTTTGGTTTTTACAGTTATACTTACACAATAATGTGTAGTGGCAATAGTTTATTTAATACTACGAGATATTAAATATATATTTAATAAAAATTGGATTCATCTTACTGGATATTTGTTCAATTAGTTTGACGTGTGTTACAGGACGGCATATATCAGAACAAGGAACTGGTAATGAAACTCAAAGATTATTATATATTATTAACTGTTAATAGATTTTTCGATATTTTTATTATTATTATTAACTCTTTGCTATCGTATTTTGTTTAACAATAAGCATGATAATCGTACTGGTCGAAATTATCTTTAAAGTAGTGCACGATTAGTATAAATTATCGGCTAAAGAAAATATAAATCTTCTTAAAATAGATGTGTTTAGGCATTATACATATTATTTATTATCTCGACATACGATATTTTATACAGATTTATTTAAAAATAATTAATGTTAGGTTTCATTGTCGAAGGAATAATCCTCGCATCGTTATAAGTAAAATGGTAGATCAAGTCAAGTTGGATCCTAAAAAGTACAAATTTTCGAGGCTTCAAATTACAGTTAGAAAGAAATAAAGTTCTCAGAAACATTCCATTGGGATGGACATATTATATCAATTTCTTTAAGGGATTAGAAAAGGGTTTCTTTTAGGGATTTCCGGATCCTATAACACATACGTGATCTTACTAGACTTAGTTCACCAGTGAATGGGAAATTTTGAGACCCCCGAGAGTGGGGATCTTTTTGGTTGTTCAGGGTCCTATCATCTTTACATGATTCTACTTGACTTAGTCCACCAGTGAATGGGATACCCATAGGACCTAACGATAAAACAGCTTTGCAGTTAGACTGTAGAAGTTACTTCAAAAGATTGCTCGTATCTTTTGAGCCATTAGTTCGGCCCAAATTTATTTCTGATAGTTAATAGTTCGATTCGTGAGTGGAAGAAAATGTGGTGTATAAAGGTGTTTAGAAGTTTTTGCATTTTGTTAACTAGTAAGTCAACGTAGCTTAGCCATTTTGAATTATTAGTTTCTGACCGATCACTAAAATCAAGCACCGTTTGAGTATTATTTGAGAGATACAGTTAATTAAATAGAAGTTTATTTAAATATTATTTTATTATATAAACTGGGAATGAGAATTGAAACATTTGCTGATAATAAATTTGATAATATAGAGAGCTGCCTAAAGTGACGTTGACAGATGTTCTAATGGTGCGATCCAGACCTACTACCAAATACTGTCAAGAAGAAAGACAGGTAATTATTCCTTTATTTCTTTCAATTTTTTTTTTTTGTAGAAAAATTGTTATTAAATATAAAAACTAGAAATGATCATTGTGATAGCACCCCTCGCTGCGTTGAAATTCATTTCTTTGTTTTATCACTTTAAACAAATTTTTTTGTTTATTAATAATTATAAGATTTGGAAACAGATCGTTTAATTATTATTATATTTTTCTTTAGGAGGGTTATTTTAATTTATAAAAAAATTTTGTTAGATATTTTTCGAAAAAATTCATTTGTGGTATCAACGTCATTGTGGTGGCGATGATAATATTGAAATATTATTTCTAATATCGAATTAATTAAAATAAATAATTTAAAATTATATATATATTTTTTATATAATAATATATATATATATATATAAATTTTGTTGTTGGGTAAGGAATTTTGTGAATGTGAATCTATTGGGTCGAATCTAATTCTTCCAGACGCTACCTAAAAAAAGGCATATGAAAGTCCTTTTGTTTTTTTCTCAAAATGGTGGTCACCAAAGAAAGTGAAAGGAGAAAAGGAAAGAAAATCGTTTTTCGTTAAAATATTTTATGTTAGCAGGTCGAATGATGGTGGATTCCCAACTTTTCTCATAGCAACACATTTTTCTTTCTTTGTTTTTTCTTTTATACGAGAGTAATGTGAGACATCTTGTCAACTATTCAAAAATTTGTTTAGGAAGCAGCTTTATGATCAAGCGTAAAATAGACCCTTTTATAGATTTTGTTTAAAAATATTCAAAATTGAAGAAATGTTAACAAATTATTTGTTAAGAAAATATAAATTCCCATCTAATATTTTTTTTACGGAATAATTTACTCGTTATTACGATTTAATCATAATACGTGTGTGATATGTATAATAGATTTTGGCATAGATATTAAACAACTATAACAAATTTAAACAAATTTAAGATTAGATATTTTCTTTTTCTTTTTTGGCAATTATTAAACAACTAACAAATTTAAACGAATTTAAGATTACGTTTTTTTTTTTTTTTTTATAGAAATATTTGATAACAGGTAATAAGAGATGATAACAAATATAGTTTTTATAATACAAATTGACAATGTGGACATAATGATGATGAAATTGTTGTTAATTAACATTTTTTTTTTTTGTTAACATTTAATTAGAATAATACTATCGTACTTTCTTGAATTATTTTTCTTTTATCCTGTACGTAAAATATAGAATGTTATTTTTCTTTCTATTTTTTTTTCTTTCTTTTCATTTTTTATCTTTCTCTTGTAAACGGTTAAACGGTGTGAAAACTGGTCAACGAATTATTATTATTATTATTATTTTTTTTAAATGAATTTGAAAACAATGCTCAACATTTTTATTTGGAGATGCAATTATTATAAGCTTCTCTATTTAAATACTAAATAAATATTTTTTTTTTGTTCTTTCTTTCTTTCTTTCTTTCTTTCTTTCTTTCTTTCTTTTCGATTGATATGTTTCTATCGATATTTATATTCCTTTTATTTTGTTCTTTTTACTTTTCAACTGACCATGAGATATCGTATATCTCATTTTCAGTTCTCATTTCATTTTCATTCTACATTTTCTCTTCCACTTTTTTTATTTTTTTATTTTTTTTTTCAAGCGTTCAATAGAATAATTAGAATAATCATCGAAATATAGTGTTTCGTCTTGCTGGTGCAATTATTTAGGCGTTTCATGATATTTAAAAAGTACTAGGCAGTATAAAAGTATCAAGCTAACTATGATCGATCGTGCGTTTTATATTTTATCAGCTTTTCTTCTTTTTTTACGCAAACGAAATCGATTCGATGCCACCCATCATATATTTTTCTTCGATAATTGTTTTTTTCATTCTTGAATGTTAAAAAAAGAACTATTTGAAAAAATAACTATCCAGTGTTTCGAAGTTTTAAATATTACAGTTTATGGTTATTTTTAATTTTTTTTTTTATTTTCGAATCACTAGAAAGTTCATTATCATCATCATCATCATCATCATCATTATCATTATCGTATATATTTTATAATAATTTCAAATCTTTAATACTAAATGAGAATTTGTAAAGAAAGTTGTTTATTTGAAAATTTATTGTGACGATGAATAGAATTATTCGAAAAATGAAAATGAAATCTATTATTAATTATTAAAATTTAAGAAGAGAGAATATTTTGTATTTGAATTAGATTAAATATTTGAATTTGGATGAATAAAATAATTTGGAATGGATCTAATAATTGAAAAAGGGGGAAGCACGATTTTCGATTTATATAATTACGTTAAATAAAATTGATAGTTTTTTTTTTATAAGAATTCTACTTCTTGTAATTTTGATAACAGATAAATGATAATAATATTCTTTGATATGTAAATAATTTTCTAGCCAAGATGCCGTACAACAAATCGCGATTCAAGGTAAACAGAAAGTTTTGAAAATGAAAAGAATAAATATGAAAAATGTAATAGGCAATGAAGATGACATTACTATGACAACTCCCGAACCAAGATTGTCCTGTACCACGTTGTCGTAACAATTTGCTATAAGATCAAAATCAACTTGATTCATAGGTTTGTTGTTGTACTCGATTGGCGATATACAATAATTTTTATTTTGAAATTCAGCAGAGCTTTGATTAACGAAATCACTCTTGAGAATATTATGGGCTTGACAGTCACAAGGAAAATGATTGTTAAAAGCACTGATCGAATTTACCTCTAAAATGATGTCTTTCGCATGACGGGGTGCTTCGAGAACGTGATTACCATGAAACCTGAATATGTTTACGTCATTTTCCTCCCTCAAATGAAATCTTTCAATAAGGTCTATCTTGTTGTTGAGAAGATTAAGATGGTCGACGTTAGTCAAACCTGTAAAGGCGTCTTTTTGAATGACACCCAGGTCGCATTCTTGAATGTTCAAAGAAGTCACGTGACTCAAACCACGAAACGTGTAAGATTTTAAACTGGTTAAATCCATGAAGGTTAATTTCAATAAACCAACCGTGTGTAATCCATCGAATGCATCTGGTTCTATGTTACGAATACCAGATGGAAAAATAAGTCTTACTACGTTGGTCAAACCCCTAAATGCGTGACTATGTAAGCTCAGTAATGGATTGTTAGTTAATATTATAGCTCGAATGTTTGAGGTACCTGCAAAGGAATAACCCTCGATATACTGAATCTTGTTACCCGCCAATAATAATAATGAAACGTTTTGAAGTGCTGCGAAAGAAAATTTTTCTATGTAGGACAACGGTGTGTCCTGAATCGACAATTCTCGTAATTTGTTCAATCCACGAAACGCGAATGGTCTTATCGACGTGATATTGTTACCGTCCAATGAGAGCTTTTTCAGAACACGTAACCTAGCAAATGCATCGGTTTTGATTATTGGAAAATTATTTTTCGTTAAGGACAATTCTTCTACTCCTATTGGTAATTGTTGGGTCGGTATATCTTCTAGGCCTCCCGTATTGCAAATCACCTGTAATCAAATAATTATAGTACTCATTTTTATTTTCTAATATTTTATATATTAATATAAATATATAATATTTATCTTAGCTACGTGTCTGTAATTACGGCACGGATCAATTAAAAAAAGAAACAAAAAAACCACGTAATAAAAATTATTTTCTAATTTATTTAATAATACAAATTTGTAATCAATTACTTTATTGATATTTATAAAAATATAAATCATATATATATATATATAACATTTTTTTATTTTAATGCAAAATTAGAACAAATCTATCAGATTGAAATTCTTTTCAAACGAGGGTTTAAACATTCCGTGAAATATTCCATTTTTCATTCCATGTTCCATTCATTCCCTTGTCCTTTTTTTTTCTTTTTTCTAAACGTTAATTGTGATCATTGAAAAACGCAAAAGAGATAAAGAGAACAGAAGAAAAGAAAAGAAAAGAAAAGAAAGAAATTATAAGAGAGATTCGTATGATGAACTGGAAAAAGGAAAAATCCACCCCATCCTATCCTATCCCATCTCATTCCTATATCTATAATCGTTTTTCAAATAGAAATTACGATGTGCTAGTGACAGCTCTAACGGTTCGGTAATTACCTATGTAATTACCTTCTGGGATAGACAGATGCATTCTGGAGGACACTTTGTATTCTCGGCCGTATTTTTCTCTTGATTCGTAGAAATAGCGAGGCTTACCGTCGCTGTACACAGTACGATGTAAATCGAGATCTAAATTTTAAAATAAAAATATCATATTATTATTATTTATCATATTTTTAAACAATCATAAATAATACTATTAATAATAATAATTAATATTATTATTGAAAAGCAATCATACTGCAAACTACACGTCTGAAATATTCTTTACACAAGAAAACCAGCAAAAGCTGTAATTTTAAAATAAAAATAATAATAATAATAATAATAATAATATTAATAATAGTACACATTTTAAATAATTATAATAATATTATTACTAATAATAATTAATATTAATATTAAAAACAATCATATTGCAAAAATTATACATATATTTTACGAAACAATTCTTTATACAAAAAAAACCAACTAAAACTGTAATTTTAAAATAAAAATAATAATATTAATGATAATACTAGTACAAAATTTTAAATAATTATAATAATATTATTACTAATAATAATTAATATTAATATCGAAAACAATCATATTGCAAAAATTATACACATATTGTACGAAACAATTCTTTACTTAAGAAAATCAACGAAAGCTGTAATTTTGAATGAATAATATTAATAATAATAATAATAAAAATAATACACATTTTTAAATAATTATAATAATACTATTACTAATAATAATTAATATTAATATTGAAAAAAATCGTATTGCAAAAATTATACACATATTGTACGAAACAATTCTTTACTTAAGAAAATCAACGAAAGCTGTAATTTTGAACAAATAATATTAATAATAATAATAATAATAAAAATAGTACACACATTTTTAAATAATTATAATAATACTGTTACTAATAATAATTAATATTAATATCATAAGCAACCATACTGTAAACTACACGTCTGAAAAATTCTTTACACAAGAAAACCAGCTAAAGCTGTAATTTTAAGAAAAGAAAATAATAATAATAGTAATGAAAAAAAAGAGTATTTTTTTAAATAAAAATTGCATAGAACATGCATGTAAATATACACAACGTGTGCATATATATGATGTCATAAATATGATGAGGTGTTGTTAGTTTTGGTCTACGGGTATTTATGGGAGTAAAGTGTATTTATTTTGCATGTGCTCTTGTGTATACATAAAGTATATATATATATGTATATATTATAGAAAGAAACGGTAAACTTGTTGTGTTATATAAGTGTACTATGCAAATATGCGTATTTTGGTTAGTACCTGCGCCCTGTGATACATCAATCCCAGAATTGTTTACGGCGCATGCCTCGTCATATCCAGAAAAGTCAGCAACGACGGTGGTTTACGGTGTTGGGGTTGGTTCTTCTTGTATATCTCTTTATCAAAGGACAATCGTATAAACTCGAGTCCAAGTGAGGGGTCCACGATGAGATAAAGAACAGGAGGGGTAGGAGGAACTATATATAGGAGGTGGAATAGAACAATATATATAGATTTGAAAAATATTAAATAAACTGATACAAAAAGGAATTTTCTTCACAATGCACACGAATTAAACACAAATCACCAATTGTTTATAGTTTAACTGTGACACTTCTTCCTTGTGAATAATATAAATTCAACTTGTCCTGATACGAATGATCAAATTATAAAGTAATATTAAAGGAAGGGGATGATAATTAGGGGTAGGATGAGAATGTGGGAAAAAGGGGGATAAAATGAGATAAAGTAGGAACTTGAAATATATTGAGGAATTGGATTTGTTTTTTGTTTTTGTTTTTAAAGTCTTCTCAAAGAAACAAAATTGAAGATAAGTTGATCAATTTTGTTCTTTTACACGTATACGTGTAAGTAGAATTTGTTGTTTGTTGGTGGATTTCAGAGAAACTTAAAAGTTCACAAAACTGAATGTTGACGATGACGTTGATGATGACGATGACGATGGCGACGATGATGATTATGATGATGATGATGATTTATATCAAACACCTTTCTAAAGTAAGAAGAGAGAAATATCCCGAAATTCTATGCAACATCCCAACGCCTATACATTCAGCGCTGACGACGAAGCTCGCTGCGCTTTATTTCTCCTTAACCACCCTTTCCTATATCCTCTACCCCCTTCGCGCATTCCCTTTTACCGGCCACTCACCCTGCCCCTCTACTTCACAAATATTTTCTGCGCAGGCTCGTAATTATTGTCTCTCTCTCTCTCCCTTTCTCTCATTCTATCATTCTATCTCTGTCTTTGTTCGCTGTAGGTACATCAAACTACGGATCCTCATTAGCAAATCAAATCTTCCGAGTTATGGTATTTTTATATATAAATATATATAGATACAATATTTTATTATATAAATAATATAATTAATATATATAATATATTATAAATAAAAAATATAACATATAAAATATAATATTGTATAATAATTATATATATAATTATTATACAATATTATATTTTATATGTAATATTTTTATTAATTTTTTATTTAATTTTAATTAATTACAATATTATTATATATTATTTTATTATATATTTATTATTATTATTATTATTATTATTCCATATAATAATAATATATAAATGTAATAGTATTATATAATTATAATAATAATTATATCTAATTTTTAATTTTTAATTTTAATCGAAATTATTTAGCAAATTAAAATAGTATTTTTTGTATACTGGTTAAATTCTTTGAGAAAAGGAATTATTATTTTTCTTTGTTTTTTATAAAAATAACTTTTTTATAAATTGTGTTAATTAAAATTTTTTACTTACCTTACGTTCACTTAAATTTTTACACATTTTTTTTTCAACACTATTAAAAAATCAAATATTTGAATATTTTAGAGGAACTTAAAACGAAACATTTCGTTCGTAAAAGTTATACTTTCACAACTTGGGACTATTTTAATTCTCAATCTTCATATATTTTTTAATTTTTTTTTTTTTTTAAATATTTGATATAAAGATAGGAATGAGGTTTAGGTTAATGAGATACACACATATATATTTGAGTATATAAAAACTTTTATCGGTACTAACAATCTTAAGAATACAATACAAATCTTATTTAGATAATAATAAACGTATTAAACAATTTAATGCTTTAACAACTTGCGTTTTGTAGTTAATTCGTTACTACGCTAGTTATTTTTCATTAAAAAAAAAAAAAAAAAAAAAAACTAGTTTAAAAAATGTTCAATAACATTTTTTTTTTTTTTCGTTTACGTTTATTCCGATATATACGCAAAATTATTTTATGTAATACCTAATTATTTCATGAATGAATATTATGCAAACGATTGTCAATATTTGACATGTATAATATTCATAGTAAATTTATATAATATCTAGTATTTTAATGTAATACTTAGTTATTTCATGAATGAATATTATACAACGATTGTCAATATATGACATGTATAACATTCACAAAGAATATTTACACTTTAACGATAATACTAAACGAAAATTTTTTAATAAATATCACTGTGTGTATAAATTCAATTATTAACCTTTTAATTGTAATTGATTTTTTAATACTTCGAAAAAAAAACAAAAAAAACAAAAACGAATTAAACTATAAAAAAAAATTTCATACGTTATTAGAGATTAAAATACCAAATTTTTTTTTCTTGTTTTTTTTTTTTTTTTTTTTTTTTTTTTTAATTTTCCCCAGTTAAAAGGTTAAAGAAAGTAATAAAATTACTCATCGAATGTTATATATTTTTTTTTTTCGTTATGTTTCTTTTTACTTAAAA